AATAACGAATTCTAACTTACTTCATCACATGTATCATATTGATCTGGAGGAATCAGGTTTGAATAATATTCGAAACAGATGTCAACCTGAGCTTTTTGAATCCGAAAAATTTCATCTGTTAAGGCTGATTTTAGAAGTTCAACTATATCAGGGAAAACGCGAATGGCTGACGAGGAACTAACAGTGAAAGGCAAGTTTTCCAAATAATCACGATACTCGGCTTTTTGAAGCTCAGATGAGAGCATTTGTTGTATACCGTTAAAACAATCCATTAATGTTGAATGTGAGTTGACATATTTATGTATAATGCTATTAATGGATTCAACTCTTTGAGTCGAAGACATTCCAGCATTAAACTCCTAAAAAAAAATTTTTTATATATCAATTATAACCTGAATCTATACATAGCTCTATTATATGACACCAATGGAAAATCAAACTTTGATCATATAAATTTGTATATTCGAAGTCTGGTTTTCTCCTGATGTTATCACATCATAGTTTAAATCTTAATTACCTGAAAAGTATAACACTTAGCCCATTTTTCTTTAATCGGGTATAAAATGTTCCGCAAATATGATGAAGCTTCTAGATATTTTGTACATAATGAATCGAATCGAGATTCGAAAATTTCTTCAAATAAAGTATTGCGGCAGACGAAAAAGTCAGTTTGAAAAGTAGCAAATTGGGAACCAAGAGGACGTATCAAGTGTTTTTTGATATTTTGAACTATGTGAAAGATGCAATGTAAATATCGTGTATTTGGTAGGGTGGATTCAATTGCTGGCCCTAATCCAGTATCACAGTCGGAATATATAGTTGCAGGCGGTAGATTGTTTGTAGCTGCTAAAAGGTTTTTAAGAACCCATATATAAGACGAAGTAGTTTCATCGGACATTAGGGCTTGAGCTACTAATCTTGAACGGCGATGTTGATCAACGCCCACAAATAGACATAACGCCATGCGATATTTGTTTGTTCGAGCTGTATTATCTGTTAAAATAACGTCATGATACTTTAAGTACAAGTTTTGTTGATTAGGAGTCATCCAAAACAAAT